TTCTTCTGTTACCTGGTATTTTTTCTTTGTGGATTAAATGAACAGTTATTGAGACTTTTTTATTTAAGTATCCTAGATTTAGGCATTTCAACCACTGTTAAGGCCTTAACATGCCCTGTTTATTATTTTTTGTGCCTTAAGGCTTAATATACAAGAAATTAATTTGTACTATATAAAGTAATACAATTTACATACAATAATTACTTTACAATTTTACATTAATTGATTTCTACATTCAAATCTATGTTAACTCTCGCTATTCGTTCGGTGCCTTTATTGGGAGAGTTTATTACATAGTTATAATACTATTTATTAAAATATAAAGCTATATTTTCCAATATTCTTGTTACGGCTTTTCCCGCGTTGCTGTGTGCAACCACCGCTAGTTGTGGAACCGTGAGCGCGGCCCGACGATCGTAACACCCTCATGGCTCCGCCCACCGCCCCTAGGTTGTTCAACTAGCGTTGGTTACGACAAGCACTTAGTAAGTTCGACGTATCACTTTGTTTGCGTCGTGCACATTCTCCCGCAGTAGTCACGCTGCGATCCCTTTGGTAGCATGACGATCTTCTTTGTCGGTCTTCGTAGTACATGCCCACTGCCAGTGGTTACGTCCACTACTCGTACCTCTCCGTCGACGCCAGGATATACGTTGCTGATTTTTCCCCTGGGCCAGATGTTGCGTGGTAGATTGGAGTCACAAATGATGACTAGGTCTCCAATCTTCGGTGATACGCCTATGCTGCCGGGCTCCCGCCGGTGTTGAAGTAGGGGCAGGTATTCTTTCACCCATCTTCATAAAACACGTCGGCTAGGGCTTGAGCTCGTTTCCACTGCTGGTGGGCCGTCACATCGCTCTCGCTGAAGTGTCCCGGCGCAGGTACGTGCGAGTTGGGACCGATGATGATGTGATTCGGCGTGATGGCTTCTGGGTCGACTGAGACGTGTGTGAGAGGTCTTGAGTTGACCGTGTTTTCGACCTCGGCGAGCAGGGTCTCATCACTGGGATAGCGCTCGTTGAGTGTGACGCATAGACCTTCTTTCATGGAGCGAATCATTCGCTCCCATGCGCCGCCCATGAACGGTGCTGATGGTGGTATGTACTTCCACACAATTTGTCGACATATGGTTTCGTGCTCGAGGGCTGCGAGTGCTGCTTCGGCCAGCTCCTTGTCGGCTGCCTTGTAGCACGTAGCGTTGTCACTCCATATTTCTTTTGGGCATCCTCTTCTGCTCATAAAACGCCTGAGCGCCGACACGGCTGAGTCGACGCTTAACGAGTGGGCTACCTCTATGTGTATTGCTCGTGATGTCATGCAGGTGAATAACGCGCCATAGCGCTTTTCACGATGTCGTCCCACTGTGACCTCTATTGGCCCGAAGTAGTCCAGTCCGGTGTATGTGAACGGATGTGCGTGATGAGCGTGGCGTGCGGACGGCAGGTTTCCTGTAGATGGTGATGCAGGCTTGGCTTTTCTTAGACGGCATGGTAGGCAGCTTTTGATGACAGTTTTCACCACTGGACGTATTTTTCTTATGTAAAATCTCTGTCTTAATTCGTTCACGATTGTTTCCACGCCTCCGTGATGCAACCTCTCGTGTACGTGTGCTATGTACAGACGAGTGTATGCGTGCTTCCCGTCTAGTATGGGAGGGTCGTACGTGTCCTCCTCCACTTTTGATGCTGCTTTTATTCGACCTCTGAGGCGTAGGCTCTTCTCTTCATCGACGTTTAGTTTAGTTTAGACGGAGAGTTTATTACATAGTTACAATTACATTATATTAAATAATTTTTTATTTAAATTAAATACGTCGGTTGGTTCTTGCGCGGGTTACATCTATGCGCAATTTTTAATCCAGTAACCGGTAAATAAGTGTTTTGATATGCGAAGACTATTGCAAAAGTGACATATACTGTTTATAGTCATTGTGATATAATAAACTTTTCAGTTAATTATGGATTTAAAGTGAAAATAACCATAAATCTCTTTTGTGCAGTGAGATATCAGTGACTGGCCGGTATTGTTTACTATAACGCGTAAGCGACAAGCTCCGCACGGCGCTTAAGCTCTTTTGGACGGGAAGTCTTGTTGGTTTAGTTAACGTTAGCTGTTGATGTTATTTACATTGTTTTACGTGCCTACTGTTTTAAATAATCTACCTCTCGTTTAAATAAATACAAAATACTATTATACTATGGATTGCAAAACATGTTTCGTTGTTGTAAATGAGGAGGACTTAATTAATTGCTCTGCATGTCGTGGCTCATACCATTACGTATGCATAGGATTAAAAGAACTGGACTTTAAGAAAATGTTACCTATGAATAAAATTAAATGGAAGTGTCCATCGTGTAAATCCGGTAAAAAAAGGATAATAAAAACAGCCCCAACACACCTCGTCTGGAATGCAGTTCATCGCAATCGCAATCTATGATAAACATTGATGCAAATGCCATTATGGAACATTTTGACGGTAGGTTTAGTGCGTTGCAATCTGCCATCGACTCCCTGAAATCCGACGTTAACGACAAGTTAACAGGACTATCAGCTACTGTTAATTCATGGGAGACTAAAATGAATGGTTTTGCATCATTAATTGCTTTGATAAATGAACAGATTTCCGATCTTAAAGAGGAAAATGATAAATTGAAGCAAGATCTCGACCATATCCAATCAAAAGTGAGGGATATTTCTGACTGCAATGATCGCAATGACCAATGGGTTCGCCGTTCAAACATACAAATAAATGGGGTTCCTGAGAAAAAGGGTGAAAACCTTTTAAGCTTAGTGAAGTCCCTAGCGCAAAATTGTAATTTTATAATTAATATAGATAGTGATGTTGATTTCGTAACTCGTGTGGCGGTTAAGAATGATGCGGACAATAAAACACCGAAGCCGATTATTTTGAAAATGCATTCGAGATATAAAAATGATGATTTTCTATCATTGTTACGTAAATTGAAGAACTGTACCGCTAGCGATATTGGTATTACTGGGGCACAGAGTGGCTATAAGATATTTTTCAACGACCATCTTTCGGCAAAAAATAAGCATTTTCTCAAACAAGCGAAGCGATTGGCGAAGGAGAAAGGCTACGTCTACTGCTGGGTTCGTAACTGTTCGATCATGGTGCGCCGCAGTGATCAATCGCCAATTATACACATCTCGTCTGAACGCTCTTTAAACAAAATTGTATAAGTGCTATGGTTGTGTCATACTTTTCTTACTGCTTATTGTTTTTGACTATAAATGTAATTGATCTATTTTTTAAATTAAGTATTATGTTCACTGGTTATCAACTTGCTTTTTATAAAACTACCACTGTAATATTGTTGCAAACTCAAATATTTTATTTTAATGTTGTAAGATTTTATCAAATTGCATTGGAGCCGGCTATAGACTTACACTTTGGGTTGTTTCTACTTTATTTGAACGTTCTATACTTAAGAAACTATTTAGTTAAACTTAACATTTTCATTGTCAATTAACATATTCTATCAGAATGCAAGAGGTCTGCGGACGAAAGTTAAACAATTTTATAGTAATATTCTAAACTCAGATTATGATATTATATGCATAAGCGAAACTTGGTTGTTACCAGGAATCTATGATGCTGAGTTGTTTGACTCTCGGTATAATGTGTACCGTAACGATCGTAACTATGATAATTTAACTATTAAAAAAGGTGGTGGTACCATGATTACTGTTCGCCGAGGGATAACTGTGAGTATGCAGGGACTACGCAAATTACCTTTTTTGTATGATGCTGACGTAACATGTGTTAATATTTTATTGAATCGGGCACCGATGACATCATTGCTGAGACTATTTTGTTGCTACTTCCCCCAAAATGATTATCAAGCGGCAGCGGAATTATCGTTTTATGAATATTTATCTGATCTTAAAATTGACTATCCTAATGATAAGTTTTTATTGGTAGGAGATTTTAACATAAGGGTTGCTAGATGGATCCCAAATCCACATTGTTCAGGTAGTAATTTGTATCTTGATAATCCATATGATAACATATTGACATCGCAACTGTTTGCGTTTTTATGCTTTAATGACTGGTCACAATATAATCACGTTAACAATATGAGCGACAGACAGTTGGATTTGGTGATTTCCGATTTGAAGTGTATTGTACAAAGAGTCATGCCGTTGTCATCGCCGGAAGATGGCCACCATCCCTCTTTATGTATTGACTTAAGTATTGATTATACTCCAAGTCTGTGTCCAGCCAACCGGATAGTACGACGTTTTCATACCGCGGATTATAATAAAATTAACCAAGAACTATCAAATCTTGTTTGGGAAGACCATTTAAATCTAAACGATATTGATACTGCGGTTGATAACTTTTATAAAATTGTGCGTGATGTGATAAATAGGTTTGTCCCACTTAAAGTCGTTAGAAATAATAATAAATATCCAGTCTGGTTTAATAAGCGTCTAATTAAACTCATAAATAGAAAACTTAAACTTCATAAAAAATGGAAAATTTATGGTAGACAGTGTGATTATGACAACTTTTCAAATACACGGCGTGATATTAAAAAATATGAAGTTTTGTGCTATGAACGATTTATTAATCACGCTGAGAGAAATATTCAAGTTGACCCAAAATACTTTTAGTCGTTCGTTAAATCAAAGCAAAAAAAGCTGTCATATACCTGATACTCTATACTTTCTTTCTTTCTTTCTTTATTCTTTATTGTACACACTATACGTTGGTAACAATTATTAAATATTTAAATAAAATGTACAAAGGCGAGCTTAACCCTAATAAGAGTTCTCTTCCAGCAAACCTATTGGGAAAGAGAAATAGTTTTATATAAAGCAAGTAGGTAGCAGCGTGCGTACTTAATTATATTCAAGCTTAGTCCGAGATAACTTGGTAGTATCGTCTACACCTTGCTCGATGAACGCGTCCTTTTAGAGTAGATCTAAAACAAAAAAGTTGCAACACGAACGCAACCTAACGCTTCTCGAATGTCATTCGTTTTACCGCGTTTGATGAATGATCATCCATTTGCAATTGAAAAAGTTTTGGTGTAATTTATTCTGGTTACGTTGGTTTTAAAATGCCTAAAAGACGAAGGGAGTCAAAAGAAGAACGTTTAGAAAGGAAGTTGAACAAATATAAGAAAAAATATGAACGTTGTAAAAGACGTAAAGACGAACATTCAAAAGATAATAGAAACGAAAATGTTGTTGGCGATATTGGTAAGTCTGTTTTTATCATAACTCAATTTATTATAATTAATAAATTGTATTATGCGGAACTTTATGGATATATAATATTTCATTAAAATAAAACAAAAAGTTTTAAAAGATCATTAAAATTAGCATGTAGACCGCCAATGTTTTTCTAAAAAATTTAAAATGAGGTTTACTTATCCTCAATTTTACCATCCAAAATTTTATGTGTATAAACTTTTGAGACTATCCCGTGGGGCATAGTCACGACTTTCCCGTGGGGATTAGTCGACCAGACATAATATGCCTGGATACAAATGTCACAAATTTGTAAAAGCGAGTGTCACTTTTAACTTATCCCGTGGGGTTAATAGTCATGCCATACCATTTAATATGGTATGGCTCTTAAAGTGAGTGTCACTATTAAACCATTATATTGGTACTATAGCAATTGAATATCATTAATTTATGGGCATTACATCTGTAAACAAAGGGGGGAGAGAAATGAAGGCATAAATAAGAAAATTAGCATAATACAATACTACTATAATTATAAAATTTCAGTGGAAAGTATTGAATCAGAAGAGGAGATTATTCTGGAAAATATCGAACCAGAGGAGGAGGAGGAGGTGGAAATTATGGAAGTTAAAGAAGAACATTTAGAAGAGGATATTATAGAAGCCATGGGTCCACCGATTAGTACTGAATCTTTATATGGTCAACCAATACATCCGGAGATTTATAAAAGGGTCGAAGGTATTTTGATGGAAGGCTTGACTAATGAAAAAATTGAAACATATAAAAAAGAGCAACTAATACCGGAAAATACCATTTTGTTAGAGGCACCACTACTGAATCCTGAATTACACATGATACAGGAGTCAGTAAAAACAAGAGATAAAAAAATTGAGAACCGCCAAAATTTATTAGGATTAGCCACAGGCACAATATTAAAATGTGTTGATAATTTAACCAAACAAGATTTTAATAAATTAGATATCATAAAAAACATGACAGAGGCGGCCAGGATTCTAGCCCACCTCCATTCAGAAGATACGGCAATAAGAAAAAATTTGTTAATACCTCACTTAGATAAAACCATATCTAAGACTCTTGCAGATCTCAAACGGGATAAATTCTTATTTGGAGAGAAATTGAGTGAATGTGTAAAGAGTGCAACAAGTTTACAAAAATCTGCTTCAAATCTTCTAAAGAAATCTATTCCAAAACCCTTTAAGCCAAGGCAAAATTCTTCTACAAAAAACTATTATCCCCCTCAACATCAAGGGACCCAGAGGAAGATGTTCAGGGGAAATCAAAATTTTCAACGGCCGGCAACCAAGGTCCAAGCACCGGCAGTGACTCGCAGCCATCCTCACAAACAAAAGAATTACAGACAACAACGTGCCAAATACCCATAGAGGTAACACATTTTGCTGGTCGAATTAAACACTTTTATAACTGTTGGAATAAGCTTACAAATCATAACACTATTTTATCATGGATACAGGGCTATAAAATCCCTTTTATTGATAATCCAACTCAAAATTGCTTACCACTGAATGATAAGTTGTCAGGTTTAGAAGATAGGATTATGTCTATAGAAATTAAAAAGTTAATGAAATTACATGCTATTTCACAGTGTACTCCTGTAAAAGGTCAATATTTATCGAGTATTTTTTGTATTCCAAAGCCTGATAAATCACATAGATTTATTTTAAATCTTAAGCCCCTAAATAAATTCATAAATCCTCCACACTTCAAATTAGAAGATATTCGTACCTTATGCAAATTAGTGACTAAGGACAGTTATATGTGTACATTAGATATACAAAATGCATACTATTTAATTAGTATTCATGATGATTTCAGAAAGTTTTTACGTTTTAAATATAAAGGAATTCTGTATGAGTTCAATTGTTTACCATTTGGATTGTCTACTGCACCATACACTTTTACAAAATTATTAAAACCAGTAGTAGAACATCTCAGAAGTCAAGGCCTCATAAATGTTGCCTATTTAGATGATCTTAATTGCATAGGACTCTCTTATGCAGAGTGCCTAGACAATGTTCATAAAACTGTAAATTTACTCCAGTGTTTAGGTTTTATAATTAATATGAAAAAGAGTAATTTAATTCCATCACAAGAAAGAGAATATTTAGGTTTTGTCATAAATACACAAAAAATGATAATAAAACCCACAGAAAATAAAAAGAAATCTTTATTATCTGCAATACATAAATTTCTTAAATTAAAGTACTGTTCTATTAGAGAATTTGCTGCCTTGGTAGGTAGTTTTGTATCTATATGTATGGCAGTATCTTATGGATTTGTATACACAAAAATATTTGAGAGGGAGAAATACATAGCTTTACAGAGATCAAATGGAGACTATGAAAAACAAATGAAAATAAATGAAAATGTGAAGTTAGATTTATCATGGTGGCAAAATAAGATTAATACCGCATATAATCCAATAAAACAGTATCAGTTTATATTAGAAATTTGGTCAGACGCTTCTAGTACGGGTTGGGGAGTACACTGTGATGGTAAAGTGGCACGAGGTTTTTGGTCCATTCAAGATAAACAAAATCATATAAATTATTTAGAACTCTTAGCAGCATACTTTGGCTTAAAATGTTTTGCAAAAGACTTAAAAAATTGTGAAATATTATTGAGAGTTGATAATACAACTGCAATTTCATATATTAATCGTATGGGGGGAGTTCAATATCCTAAGCTTAACAACTTATCTCGATTATTGTGGCAATTTTGTGAGAAGAGAATGATATGGGTTTTTGCCTCTTACATTAAATCAAAAGACAATAAAGAAGCAGATTTTGAGTCTCGAAATAGGAATATAGATGCTGAATGGGAACTATCAGTTGATAGTTTTAACAGGGTGGTTACAATGTATGGCCAGCCAGACATTGACCTTTTTGCATCTAGGATTAATACAAAATGCATTAAATATGTGTCATGGCAAAGAGATCCAGAAGCCTGGAATATAGATGCATTTACATTAAGATGGTCTGATTTCTACTTTTATGCATTTCCACCATTTTCAGTTCTTTTAAAAACAATTCAAAAAATTAAGAATGAAAAGGCAAGGGGCATCATTATTTTCCCTGTTTCGACTGCTCAGCCCTGGTATCCTATGATGAAATCAATGATAGACTCGGAAGTAATTTACTTTCCACCTTCATTAGAACTCTTATCTTCTCCTTTCAGGACACCTCACCCACTACATGCACAACTTACCCTGGGGGCATGCATATTATCAGGACAGCGTTCCAACTAAATAAAACCCCGGAGTCAGCATGTGATTTGATGTTAGCATCTCTGTCCTCAAATACATTAAAACAGTATAATACATGTTTAAAACAGTGGTGGCATTACTGTATGCAAAACAATCATGATATCTATAGGGCATCAGTGACATATATAATAACATACTTAACAGAGTTATATAATAAAGGGTGTAGTTATCAGACCCTTAATTGCCATAGATCAACTCTTTCCTTAATAATAGGATCACATCTGGGAACAGATGAAACAATAAAAAGGTGGTTTAAAGGAGTATATAGGCTTAGACCACAAACTCCAAAATATAGTGTGACATGGGAGCCTTCAATAGTCCTAAATTTTTTGCAAAAATTGTATCCACTTGAATCACTTGCCTTAGATAAACTTACCAAAAAATGTGCTATGTTGATTGCACTCAGCACTGGGCAAAGGATACAAACACTATCTTTAATTAAATTGAGTGATGTAAATGTAACTGAGACACATGTTACAATACTGGTTTCAGACTTACTTAAAACATCGGCTCCTGGAAGACAACAGCCAATGTTAATCCTACCATATTTTAAAGAAAAGCCTGAGATTTGCCCAGCAAAAACTTTGTTATTTTACATTGATACCACTAAAAAATTAAGAGATCAGGATGGAAGTACACAAAATATTTTTATAACATTTAAAAAACCGTATAGAGCAGCCACATGTCAAAGCATAAGTAGGTGGCTTAAACAAGTAATGAGCGAAAGTGGTATTGATACAAGCACATTTACTCCACATTCAACTAGACATGCCTCAACGTCTAGTGCTCTAAGACAAGGACTTACAATAGATAACATATTAAAGACAGTTGGATGGTCAGAAAACTCTCAAACATTTGCAAGGCATTATAATAGACCTCTGTTAAATGATAATCACCTGTTTGCAAAAACAGTATGTAGGACAAACTCTACTTGATTAAAATTTAGTTTGAAAAAATATTTGTAATTTACATATAATTACTACTTAGTTGTGATAGCAACCTATTTTAATTTTTTGTTCAGTGAAGTAACATTTTAATAAAAGTTGATTTTCAAGTTTAGTATTCTTTGAATCTTTCTTTCTTATAATTTTAAGTTCCAATTTAATGTGCAAATGCAATGAGAATCTATATGTTTACTCATTAACTCTAAACATCTACCAAGTTATCTCGGACTAAGCTTGAATATAATTACATAATTAAACGAACTTACCTTAAGTGAAGTTCAATTTTAATTATATGAAGAGCTTAGTCCGAGATATAAATTTCCCACCCACCTCACTTAATAAGTTTGCGACTTATTAACCCAATTAAACAGTAGATTCTAATATTTACTCTAAAAAGAATGACATTCGAGAAGCGTTAGGTTGCGTTCGTGTTGCAACTTTTTTGTTTTAGATCTACTCTAAAAGGACGCGTTCATCGAGCAAGGTGTAGACGATACTACCAAGTTATCTCGGACTAAGCTCTTCATATAATTAAAATTGAACTTCACTTAAGGTAAGTTCGTTTAATTATGTAATAATTAGCATAACACTAGTTAATAGAAATTTGCTATAAGTAACAGTTAACAATTAACATATAAGTGTATAAAATATAAGTATAATTTATTATCTTATTTCTATTGATTTACATACATATATATATTAATAAATACAATAAATATATACATATATACTCATACACACATATATATATAAATATATATATATATTGTAGTGTTATGCTACTTACATATCATTTTACATTATTTTAAATTCATTTTTCCATTCTGTTTCGATTTTCTGCATTCACCTCAAAACTGGATATTTTACATCACCTTTATTTCCATAGGATCCTGTAACGATTTTAAACCATAAGAACACAATAACAAATCATTTCTACTTCGTATTTTCACATTATCAACACTTTTAAATTGGTGTCAATGGAGTCTACCTTTTTTCGATCTTTTAGCTAGTTTTCCGTAATTCTACAATCTTGGACTTTGTGTGGGCAGCTGCGCTACCATTTTTCCTATATCAATAATATCTTATTTTCCACTTAAATCTTACCGTTTTCTTATTATAAACCTAAAACCAAAATTTGACATGTTTTGATATTGTTATTTATTTCGTTGCTATAGTAATTATATTCAAATTTGCTACCGATCTGTTGTTCCTATTTCGATAATTCCACATAAATACTTTTTTCTCTTGACCATTTACAAAAAATTTGCGTTTAATTTAAATAATTTTTCCGTTCTCTCTAGAAAGGTATAAAAGCCGAACAATCGGTGAAGAAAGGCAGTCTCGCTTCAGTTCGCGAATTGGAAGTATCTCCTAAAGGCCTTATCCCGGGGCCGCACTGCCCCGGGATCCTGCAAGCCTCCACCTACACGTGAAGTTTTCGGCGAAGCCTTCTTCAAACGCGGAGCCGCACCACTCCGGATTCCTACAAGCCTCCATCTACCTCGGAAGTCGCTTCGAGACTACTACAAACGCGGGGGCCACACTACTCCGGGCGCTACGACTGCTTACTCCAGGCGCCGAGTGCACCTACTGCCGGCGCTACCTTTGGGCGCTGCAACTGCTGACTCTAAGCGTTGAGCGCACCTACTCCAGGCACTACGTGCGCCGGCTCCGGACGCTGCGTGTGCTGGCTCCAGGCGTCGCGTGCCGTCGCTACTAAGAAACTTACCTCTACAAGCGCAACCGGCGTGTGCTGGCTTCAGGCGCTGCGTGTCGTCGCTGCTAAGAAACCTACCTCTACAATCGCAACGTGTGTCGCTTCGACTTTTAGGCCCCACTACATCTCTTTATTCCCCTATTCTCCTACCCTTATATTTTTTTTTTTGTAATCTAATTGTACTCTCACTTCATTCATCATCATCCTCATTTCATTTTTTTTATAAAATTGTAAATATCTTTGAATTTTGAATATATTTCTGTTTTTGTTGTATTTTTGTTGTTTTGTTGTTCTTAGGTTAGATTCTTTTTGATATATTATTGTCGCTTCACGACAATATATATATATATATATATATATATATATATATATATATATATATATATATATATATATATATATATATACAATTATATATATAAATACATAAAATGTGTAAATATTTGTAATTCTAAGTTGACAGATAATATTTCTTTACTCTGCTCCGAAATATATCAAGAGAAGAGCTAGCACGTATGTCATGTGGAAGTGAGTTCCATAGCTTAACCGCCCTTATAGTAAAGGATCCACCACATCGGCTTGTGAAATGAGAAGGAGTTTTGAGAAGCAGCTGTTTAGTGATCCGGCACTGAGTTTCACGAGGTACAAGATACTCAAAACGCTCGCGAAGATATGGAGGTGCAAGAGGATTAAAGAGAAGAAAATAAAGAAATGATAACACATGTAAGTCTCGACGTTTACGGATAGGAAGCCATTTTAATTGAGCCCTGTACTCTGATACATGATCAAACTTACGAAGACCGAAAATAAAACGTATACACAAATTTTGAATGCGTTCCAGTTTGTTCAACAGCTCCTCTGAAGCATCCAAAAAACTAACATCAGCGTAGTCAATGAGAGGAAGAAAAAGTGCTTGAGCTAAGGTTATCTTAGTTTTTAACGGTAAAAACATCTGGAGGCGCTTGAGAGATTGGAAAGAGTAGTTCACTTTTCTGCTAATCATATTAATATGAGCAACCCATGACAAATTATTATCAAAAATAACACCTAAGTTCTTAGCAGTCTCTGTATATGGAATTTGAGTATTATCATACGTTACTGCAGGGATCTTCGAACGATCTAATAAATTAAGCATATATGAGCTGCCGATAATCATTACTTGGGATTTAGTAGGGTTAACAAGAAGACCAAATGATTTTGCCCAACTGCTTATGCTACTTAAGTCAACATTCAGCTTATTAATAGCCTCATCTATATCTTGGACTTTGAAATGACGGTATAATTGCAAATCGTCAGCATAGAGATGATAATGAGACGAGAGAACAGTAGTGAGAGCATTGATAAAAATAGAGAAGAGAAGTGGGGAAAGAACACCACCCTGAGGAACACCCGCCGTGAGATCGCACCACTCGGAGAAATCCTCCTCATGGCGGACACACTGCGAGCGACCCCTAAGGTAAGAATTAAACCAAGAGATTACTGATGGTGAAATGTTAAGGACGAAAGAATACCAAGAAGTATGTCATAATCAACGGAATTAAATGCACTGCTGAAATCCAATAATGTTAGGACAGTAAGTAGTCTTTTGTCCATGGCCCAGCGAATATCATCAGACACTTTAATCAGAGCGCTGACTGTGCTATGGCCTGGACGAAAACCAGATTGGAAAGGACTCAGCAAGTTGTGAACAGTTAGAAAATGAGACAGTAAATAAATAAAAATAAAAAAAAAATAAAAAGTAGATAAGATTGGAAGAATAGAAATAGGTCGGAATTGGGATAAAGATGTAGGATTAGAAGTTTTTGGAAGGGGAATGACGAATGCCTTTTTCCAGCAAGTCGGAAAGGAGCTCGTCTCAAGCGAAGAAGAGATAATGTGAGTGATAATAGGGACAAGTTCATTAGTGATAGGCTTAATCATTTGCATACAAAGATTGTCATAACCGATAGCTTTAGTGGAAATAGATAAAAGGCATTTTTTTATGTTACCATCAGTAACTTTACTAAAATTAAAAGGAGAACACAGCGGCTTAGGAAAATTGGAGAGAAGATTAAGTGTAGTTGACTTAATAGAGTCATCAATAGAAATCGGAGGCTCAGAAAAGTGCCGGTTGAGTGCAGTCAAATCAAACGAGATATTAGAATCATTATGTGATTTGCCTATACCCAGAGTTTTAAGAAATTTCCACATCTGAGCGGAATGAGAATTTTCAACCTCATCATAAATATGTTTCCTCTTAGCATCACGACACATCTTACTACAGCGATTACGTAATTTTTATATGTGAATAAATTTTCATTAGTAGGGTGCTTCTTATAACGCCTCTTAGCTTTATCTCTTTTGGACATTACTGCTTTTATAGACTCTGAAAGCCAGGGGGCTGGAAAGTGTTTAACCCAGACTCGCTTAAGTGGTGCATGAGTATCGAAAAGTTTTAAAATGAGGTGATTAAAAGCATAAACTTTATCATTAATATCTTCGAAATTTAGAACAGGGGACCAGTCAATATTATTTACATCATCTCGCAAACGGTCCAGGTTAATTGATTTAAAGCTTCTTAAGAGTAAGAATTTTGATTTGCGCCTAGGACGTTGAATTTTATAGGAGAGGAAGATAAGATCGTGGTAAGAGAAAGACGCAGATAGTTGACCATGCGAAGCAACCCGGTCAGCATCAGAAACAATAATAAGGTCTAAAAGAGAAGGGGTACTATTAGGCGAATGGTGAGTAGCAGAAAGAGGAAGAATATGTAAATTAAAAGATGACACCAGGGAGAGCAATTTTTTGCTACGAAAATCATTCTTCAACAGGCATGTGTTAAAGTCACCTAAAATAATGGTATTATCATAAAGCGGAGTTAGATTTACAAGTTTTTCTTCCAGAGAAGAAAAATAATTTATATTGCGAGAAGGGGGAAAATAGACCCCAAGCAAAGTCCTAGAATGATTAATAGTAATTTCAATAAATAAATGTTCAGCAAAATTTGTGAATGATCAACTATTTTATAAGGAATGTCAGCTCTCAAATAGATTGCCACTCCACCATAACCTTTGCCGACCCTGTCATTACGTATAAGTTGAAAACCAGGGAGACAATACTGTACCGACGGAAGTGCAGGCTTTAGAAAAGTTTCAGAAACAAGTATGGTATCAACATATTTAGAATCAAAGGTTGATAAAAGATCAGCGTAATGAGCATGAATGCTTTGAGCATTAATATGGACTATATTAAGATATTTACTATAATTACAGAATACGGCTACTAGTTGATCATGTAAATGAGTGGAATCATCGCTTAAGGCGCTTTTATATGTCTTATCGGAAGAGCTAGAAGAAGAGCAAGAAAAGTAACTATCATCAAATTCCAAATTATCACACATGCTAATCAAAACTATAA